AGAGGATTAAGTAACGAAGACTACACCGATAGAGAGATGTGGAGGCTGGGATGCGAGAGATACCCTAGGGAGTAATATAACTCGCTATACTAATACTACATAAACGTGCAAAAGTGTTTTCAACCAGCAAAATTTATTTTCCGCACCAAGACTCGTACTCAGGACCTCCGAGTTATCTCGACCTCACTACGCTACAGAAACACCATGTAGTTTGAACTTGGATCGACGTTTAAAAGTGCAATTGTCTAAACCCAATATTTTCACCACGCACTTTTTTGCAATTTTAGAACTTATGAAGAATTCCCCGAAAATGGGAGTAGCACCATATTTTCTGTCCTTTAAAACATACAAATGACAATTTTAATGAAAAAGTTTGGAGCGTTTTTTGACAATTTGGTTTTAGAAATTGCATAAATTTCAGATACAAATTACTCGAATTCTATTTGTTCTTTCAAACACTTGTACATGACCCTTTTTAAAGAGTTAATTTTTTACAACAGAATTGGTCTAAGGCAAAAACCCTATCTTCAACATTGTAGTTTTGACATATCAACTTTGTGCAATTTTCGAATATAAGACAACGGGACGAGTGCCATATTTTTACCGTCTCTTTATTAATACAAAATAAACATTTAATAAAAATATTTGATGCGGTTTTAGACAATTGTATTTAGAAATTTCATTTTAAGAGCTGTTTTTTATAAGTAAACGACGCGGAAGGTAATATTTATATCTTATCCATTTTCATCTGTTTGTTGACTTAATTTGACAGACATGGTATTTTATACTAATCATTTTTACTTTGCTGTTTACGTATGCATGTACGGAGTGTTATCGTAGCATACGGAAAGTTATGTAATGTTGCGGAAAACAGATTTCGAGATTTCAACGGAAATATACGTTTTGGGGTTCCCTGATAGCGAAAAGGTGTTTTTTTCAAAACGTCCATCTGTCCGTCTGTCTGTCTGTCCGTGTGTCTGTCTGTGTCTCTCCGTCTGTCTGTCCGTCAGTCCGTCAGTCCTGTCTGTTAACATCATTATATTTGTGAGTTAATGTACTTTAAATGACTTCTAATGAAGTTTTTCGAAAACGCAATAATTTTCTGTGAAAATTTCGAATTTACAGTGGCGCCTATATGCCATTTTCTTAAAAATGGCTGCAAATTTTTTAAAGAAAATTTGCAAGTTTTATTGTTCTTTAATATTCTTAAAATAATATTTCCGTTCTACCATTAGAAAGCCGAAAAATTAAGAAAATTGCAAAAAATGTACTTTGAACGGCGACAGATGGCAGCTGGCAAGAGTATGTGTCAAGTCCGAGTAGCTAGCTGAGACCAAAGGAAATAGAAAACTAATACGCGAAAGCCTGTGCCATTCTGTAGCACCACTAGTTCAAATTTTGTCAATTGGTCAACAAGAAACGTCCTGGTGTGTACGTATATTTAATGGGCTGGAAGATTTTGTTACGAAATGGTACGAAGGGGTGAGGGGAGTTATAAGTGCCATTTTCGTGCTTGTGGATAGTGTCTTCGAAATAGCTGACTGCTAGATTTTTTCAAAATTATAAAAGTAGATATTAAGTGTAGTTTTCAAGTAAATTTTATTTATTGCGAATTTCTGCTTGATTACCTTCATAGTATCAAGTTCTTTATTTTTCTACTGCCAGATTGCTTCATTGCATCTACCGTAACTTTGAGCAAGCGTTTTTATTATCACTTTCAATTTAGCACTAATTGAAATGTCTACTTCTTATCCTAATAATCTATGCTATTCGAGGAATCTTTTACTAATTATTGTTCGAGAGTATTACTGTTGGGTCCGTAGACTGATCATTTATTTGGAAATGCACATTTATACGCAATATATTAAATATATTCTTCCACACTACGTATGTATGTTATCGCATCCAACGTCTCTACACTGTGGACATATACACCACACTGGGTTCTGTTGAATCGTATCGGATACTAGTCAGACTAAAAACCCAAAGGCAGACACATGCGCTGTTAATCCTCAGTATTCCCACTGGATAGCACTTAAGGTATACAAGAGGCAGCCAGAAAGTAATGCTCATATTTTTGCTTCTTAAATGAAATAAGTTAAGTGAAAAATTTGAATTCGGCACCATTCCTCAAACATTTTTCTACAATACACCGTAGTAGTAACTTTCTGCGTCAATACGGGGCAGCACAGCAGTCGTTTGAAAAATGGCCGACATCGATGTTCGCAAGAGAGTGTTGTGTGATTGAAGTTTTGAATGCAGAAGGTGAATTGAGGCAGATTAATTGTGTCGCATTATCACCCTTCCTTCGTCTGCAATCACCCAGCGGTCACCACGAATGATGTCATCGACTTGCTGAATGTTGCGTGGAGTGAGAGCAGTCATCAACCTGCCTCTCCGCTTGTCGTCAGCCAACGGTGGTTTTCGTCTAACATTGCTGGCATCCACTGTAGTATCATCGAACACATTTTTCAGTCTTTTATGAATGCGAATGCTCATTCCACCTTTGCATTCACGAGTTCAGACACACAAAGACGGTCTCTACCGAACATCGATGTCGACCATTTTTCAAAAGACTGTCACATGTTGACGAACAAAATTACTACTGTGGTGGATTGTAGAAGGTATGAGGAATATGTCAAATTTAAATTTTTCACTTAACTAATGTTATTTAAGTGGAAAAAGTTAGAGGCATTACGTTCCGGCTGTCGCTTGTACAAATTGTCTTCCATATATATGTAATGTAATAAATGTCATATATTTACCATGTATTTTGGTTTTGAGAATTAACACTATTTGTAATATAATCATAAAAGTACATTCGATATTAACGACTGTTATTACGGATATGCTCAGAATAAAAATAATTTGCGAAAATGCTCTGGGTCACTTCTTTTTATAGTAGGTCTTGGAAGCCTGTTCCTTGAATATTAACTATACCATTGACGCCGCCCCTGTTCGAGGACAGATTGTGATTAATTTGAAGTGTCTTACAAACAAATACGGCCAATACGGGAACTAGTTGTGTTTCAACAACGCATACTTTTCCCATTATTAACGGCTACCCAATATTTACAATTACATTGACCTGGAAGTGTTTTCAATCAGGAAAAACAACAACAACAAAACACACACAAATCCGCGCAGCGATTTGAACTAAGGTCCTGCGAGTCATCATGACAAGCACATTACTACACCATCCCTCGCACGGCTATACTCAGCTCTCCCGAGGCTTAAACACCTTTTTTGACGTATGCAACTTTTGTAAAAATTGAGAACGTCCAACTAAAATTAGATTTGCGCCGTTAAAATTAGATTTTAACGTCGTTGGTGCTACCCGGCAACAGTGTTTAATCAACCAATTTTTGACATTTTAAAGAAATATTGGAAAATGTTGTTGAGGTTTGACGTAACGTACGCAAAATTCCATTTGAAATTCGCACGGTCTCAAGAACGTTGCGATCGATCGACGAATATCAGTTTTTGATGAAAATCTTCTGAACGATTTACACGCTAGCGTTGACCATGCATGGACGGGCAGAGAGAGATTTCGGAGCATAGTCGATTGCGGATTCGATCAGAGAATATTCGCGTTTCGAAATAACAAATATTTAAAAAAATAATAATTTAAATATAACTCTTCAAAAGTAATTGTTTTACGCAGATTTGGACAAAATATATTAAACTAGGCATCAATTGCTGTTTTAGGACATTTTAGACTCTATTACATGCTTTCAGTAGATCTATTTTTCCATGATTTGTGAACATCAACAATTATTTTCCACAATCCCTAACAGAAACTAAATAGGCATTTGTCCTAAACTCTGACCATTATTATCACAAATAATAATTTTCGCTAGAGATCTCGTATGCACAACAACCAAAATTACTGCACGGAAAAGCACTGATGACAATAAACAGAAAGAGTGTCTCTTCCAAAACAATCAACTTTTCCACACATAAAATACGTCTCTCATCCAATGCAGATTTTAAAACAACCCAATAAAAACTGAAAAAAAATTTCCCAAGCGTCACAAATAATACTTAGAAGAATTGACTGAAGTTTTGTATTTTCAATAACACGCGAATTTATAAAGTTTGGATGTGAGTTTCAGACAGACATAAAATTGATATTCACTCCAAACCTTCTAGACTTGCGCGGAGATCACCCGCGCACTGCGATGTAAGCCTGTTACTATTTCTACATATGGTTGCGATACTATATATCGAACCGGAAATGACCTAGTGTTGACGCATAATGCCTCTGCTACTGCTACTTTAGTAGTAGCGCTGCTGCTACTACTACAGTAGTAGTAGGTCTGCGCCATTTTAACGTCGTTGGTGCTAGCAGTGTGCCATTGTTTAATGCTATTGCTACAGTGTTTAATCAATCAATTTGTGACATGTAAAAAAAATAATTGAAAAATGTTGTTGAGGCTTGATGTAACATACGCAAGCAGTGGATTAAAATGAGTTGAAGGACTCTGTGAAACCTAGGCTTGCGCAGCCCATGTTGCAGGGCGTGAGGAGGTAATTTTGATGTTTACATCAGCTATTGTTTTTTCCCCATTGTTTCCCCCTGCGAGGTGAACTTTCATCGAAAAATGTATCACAGACCTTTCTAGGGAACATGTTCTGCACAGCTAAGATTGAGGGCAGGTGACGAATACATTGTCTGGGTGGGTCACTAAGAGAGGTCCTTATGAGCCCTCGCTCTCAAATCTACCAATGTGTGAGGAAATGAAAAGTCATAATTTTAGAAAAGATGAGAGTTTTATTATCTACATTTTACTTGGTCAGTATTCAGCCAAAATTGATCTCCGTTTTGTAATTTTTCGCATTTTGATAATTTTTCTTGTGTGACCATTACGTCTACGTCTACGTTTTAAATTAATCGAATTTTAAATTAATCTTGATAGTTGCGTATGCAGCAGATTTGAGCAAATCCATATAAATGTTATTACATTACTCCTTCTTTACATCTCATTGTTCTTTTGCAGAGTGCAGAACGCCTGCAGTTGAAGGTGCTGGAAGGCTCTCCCGAGATCACACATCTGGGCGCTACGTTACCGCAAGCGCTTGCACTACAACGTCAGCACGAAGAAGTCATCCTACAACTGCAGGTACAATATATTTTAAGCCACGGCAGTTCTGAAACTGAATTACTTGAAGAAGAGTACGCTTCTGGACGTATAATTATAAAAACGAATGCTGACTCGGTGTCTCAGAGCGAAATCGGCTCCGAGCAAAGTCGCTTGCCTTTCACTAAGGAGGTGTGGGTGCGATTCCCGGACAATCTCATATACAATTTGTTCCGACAAAACGAGTTTGGCTGCTTCACTAGGGCTGGGTAGTGACGCAGGAGCGAAGCAAGAGGCGCGTACGCGGAGATGCTACCTGGCGGTCCTCTTAACGACTGACTTCGACGAGACCGGGCAACAGAGCAAGAAAATTAACAGGGGATCACTCCAAATAATAATAAAAATGTTAACGAAGGATTACTCCAGCAAGCGCTCAACGCCCTCCTAGGGGTTTGGAGTCGCGTTGCGTCAGTATCAGACGCAAAAAAAATAAGAGAAAACATCAAAATTGAAACTCCTATGTGACCTAAAACGCGGGTATTAAAGTAAATACAAATATCGATAGAGGACAAGGCAGACAAGCGCCAACCGAATCACGCCTTGGATATGCATGTTTCCTTCAAGAGACCACGGGGGGAGGGGTGGTAGAGAAAGAGGGAGGGAGACGATAGGAAGGAAAGATAGGATTGGGGAGAGAGGGAGAGGGAGGGATTGGTATTGAGAGAGGAGAGAGAAAAGGGAGGGATTTATTAATTCTTCATTCTCCAGAACCTCGGCCTTTTAAGAATTGCGTGGAACGTCCATCATATTTGCTCATATTACATGCATACAACATTTCTTTGTAGTATATTTTCATATTTTTATACATTTAATTTGCTCATTCACATTACATCCCTGAGTCACCATAGGATTTTATCAAGGCATTTTCACTATGCATAAAATATCGTCAAATTGTGCAACTATCTACCAGGGTATACATTTCTAGACCACGCATATTTAAAAGACAATTGCGTTCTCTATCGGCTCTAGGAGAAACGGTTGAGTGCAACGATACTTGTGTAGGTCTCGCAGACTTAGCAGCTAATACACTTGGGTTTTCATTTCTTGGCGCGTGAGAGCCTGTCATCACGATGGAATATCTTACGGCATTTCGCGTCTTTCTCGGGTGTGCCGCTAGGTGATCGCAACCGTAGCGAGCAGTGCTGGGGCATCATGCGGCATCTAGCGGCACGACCCAGAAAGATGTTAAATGCCTACTCCATACTGAAGACGGCCCTCAAGCGCCAAGAAATAAAATCCCAAGTATAGACAGTACACAGGACCTTCATCGTACTTGTCAGTTACCAGTCGAAGTTTGTAACTGAAATACTGAGTTTACTTGTTTTTAAAGAAGTGAAAATAGTCACATGTGGTGACACTACTTCCACTTCATTCAAGAATCTGGTAAATTGATATTTGTTACTAATATCTGTAGTAATAAAATGTACATGTCGGCGATTTTAAATAATACTAGGTTTATATGAACATGACAAAATAACAAAAGAATCGTAACTTTGTGGTACAATAATAGGTCCTCTATTTCATCATATGTTTTGCTACTTTTATTGATTAATTTTTTTCTTTGCTAAACTGATGCTAAAAGTAACAGGAGAGTGGTAAATGCTATTTGATTACCTTGAATTTGAATTCGAAGCAATTCCTCTGTAGCGTGTGTGGAATTATGACACACACTCACGATCCGGAGGTGAGAACATTTATTGTAAGATGTTGCAAATATACGTAAGTAATAAAATATCCCACCAAGGTATCAACTTCAGTAATGTATGAGAATGTAACTGGCGAATTATATCGAGTATGTAGCTTGCACAACTGAAGATGTTCCCGATGAATAGGTGGAAAGGGCCCTATAAATCATGGCACATTCGATTCACCAATGGGTGGTTTAATACCCACAAGTTCGAGGATTTGTTTGAATTCATTTTGTCGATTCTCAAGAGCCACAAATAAGAGTTCTATTTGGTGACAATTGTGACAAGTAGTTACATTATTTCACACGTTCTCACTTTGTAGGAGCAGCGCTCTAAATAATATTCATAGCTCTATCCCGAATTTCACCAATCCACATCCATCCCTCCAGCCAATGGATGTCGATTTTTTGTCCATTCACGAAAACGTGGCGTACAGTGTTGAATGAGTTGAAAAATAAATCTAGAGGCAGGCGAGTCAACTCTCTTCCAAAGTACGCTTTAAAAAACGGCTTTATCACGATGTCTTTATTTTACAACTGTTTCAATAAAGATTTTCAATAGAACCCCTGAATTTTCATGCGTACTTTCTTCATATTTTTGTGTATCTTGATCTACATTTTTCTTTCTTTTTTCAAAGAAAGGAAAAATATTTTAAAACTTTACAAAACACTTTGGAAAAACGAAATACCACGTTTGCAACGAGAGCGAGTATAATAATTGTTCACTGTGGATTTTCAATTAACTTTAGATTCTGAATAAGAGGTGGCCCCGGAATATGAGATGTGCCCTTCTTGGGTAGAAGAATGAATCACCGAGAAAAAAATCCCTCTCGGAGACTATTTAAAATTGAATATGTTTTGACACATTGTGTGATAGTTGAAATTTGTGTTTATGTTGGGAATGATAGCCAGTTCCATAGAAGGTAAATAATTAATGATAGTGTAAAAAAACCTCCAGGAGTTTCAGTAAGTAATTTTTACTTTCCCGTATACATACGTATATCCAAGTAATATATGTAGTATGGGGAAAGTTATATAATGCTGCGGAAAATCGATGAAAGAGATTGATTTTTCAACGGAAATACACGTTTTAGGGCCCCTTGACACCGAAAAAGTGGTTTTTTCAGAACGTCTGTCGTCCGTCTCTCTGTTCGTCACATTACTAGCGCCTAAACCATACAGGATTTTTTCAAAATTGAAAAAACCTCTGTCCATCTCGCTCGAGTCTTTGAGATTTTGAAAAACATTCTTTAAAATTTGGGGGTACTATACATGAGGCCATTGTGACATTTTCAAAAACGGCTCCAAATTTTTTCTTTAAATTTCTTGTTATAATAGATTGAAATACACTTATAAATATGGCACAGGTAAGATTCAACTCTGAATTTTAAATAATGGGAAAAGTTTGAAATTTTTACAGCATCTTCCTAAAACTACAAAATTAAAAATAGAGATTTTTTTCAAACGAATTATCTTATTCATATTTAGTTCTGTCATTAAGGTCACGTACATGTTTTGAAAATTTTAGTAGTTTTCGCGCAATATTGGGTGTAATATGTAAATTAAAAAAAAAAAAATAACATAAGTAACGAGATATTCTTAAAAACGGTTACAAATTTTTTCTTTAAATTGTTGGTAGGGATATTGCTACATGTACTTTATAAGATGACACAAACGCCATATTGCTCTATCCTTTTGTATTTTTAAGAATACATAAATGTATTTTTTTATTTGTCTCTCACGTCTTTAATAATTAGTAGCGCTTTGTTAACATTATTGTCTTAAGAGTTCATGTGATTTAAGTTATGTCATAAAGTTTCTTAAAATATGTTCCTTAGAAATAGATTTTGAAATAAGGCCAAGTGCAAGTTTTCGAAAATTTGAGTACTTTTTGCGCAATTTTGTGTGACAATACGGGCGAGAAAGTACGGGCTATTTTATCACCACTAGTTCAATTACGCCAAAGCGTCGTACGTTAAAACGGGTCACGAATGACCAATCATCAATTTACATGTAGTGATTCGTAAATCAAGATTAAAATACCGTTGACATGACGGTCTGGATAACCGAGGTCGCTGAGGCTGAAGGGTCGTGGCTGCCTTGGCTCGGTTTGGAATCCCGCCCCGGTCATGAATTTTTGTGTGTTCATGTTGTCCGTATGTATGTCCCTTACCGTTGACCTGAAAGGTTGCCAACCATTGTGAAACTAGTGATGCTACAATAACTCAAACTCTCTCATGCTCCGCACCACTGTTCTACTACATATGACCCTTCAAAAGTGCAACATTTTTGTCTCGAATACAGGACCTCTGAGTGAACCCGCCACGCGCCTTACCTCTATGTCATGGAAATTGTCTGACTTTCAAATTCGGGCCGACGCTTAAGAATCTAGTTGTCTAAACCCAGTTTTTCCAACTCGCAATTTTCGAAGATTCAGGCACATCAACGAAATGAGACTTACACCATTCTTTTAAGCGTATTTTGTTTAATACATGGAAAAATGTAAAGAAAACAATTGGAAAAGGTTTGAAAAAAATGTTCTTTTCATAATTTGCATTAATGTCAACCAAAAATTATGTTTAAAAAAATGTGCGTTATCCTTTTTAAATAACTAAGTTTTAGGACAGATTTTGTTTAAAGCAAAAATCTCTATCTTCATTTTTGTAGTTTTGACTTGTTAACTTGTTGCAATTTTTTAAAATACTGAGTTCACCGAAAATGAGACTAGAATCATTTTTCTTTATCGTTCTTTAATACATACAAGGAAACAAATTGAGAAAAAATGTTTAAGAATGGTTTTAATTGCCGATAATTATCCTAAATTACGCGTTTACTACTCATATTTTCGAAAAATTGTACAAGACCATATTTCAAGATCAATCTTTAAAGAACAAAATTCATTTAGAAACAAATGGTGCTACAACAGCACATACTTTCTTGCATTATTATTAACTTCTCCGCAATATTATACCCCTTCATAATCCTGCAAAAGTGATTTCAATCAGCAAAACAGTTTTTTTACTCACCAAGACTCAAACTCAGGCCCTCAGAGTTAACTCGTCGTGAGCCTTACCTCTACGCTACAGAATCGCTATGAATTTTGAACTCGAGGCGACGCTATAAATTGTAATTGGCTCAACCCACTATTTGTAACCCAATATTTCCATAATTTTAGAAAATTCTGTGAAATTACCGAAAATGAATTCCACTGTACACCATACTTTTAAACGTCTCTTGTTTAATACATGACAAACATTTAAAGGAACTAGTGGTGCTACGGAATTACACAGACTTT